GATTTGAAGGCCAAGAAGGGATCACCTACTTCAACCAGCCCGGGAAAAATGGGCCCAATTTTGTCCCCAGTGTCGGTTTGAGTGTTGATGATTCGAAACTTCATGGTGAGCCCGTGGCTTCGGATTTGCCGTATTTACGTGATTCTAGGCCGCACTTTTCCAGCAACAACAAAAATGGTACCCGGATGCATTGGCGTGGCCTATCCTCGACATAATCATGTATACGTGTCTTTGACTCGAAAAATGCGGCCTATACCCGACTACTATTCAAGTTAATGCCTCAAGCTTCTGTGGAAATAAATTTCAAGGATGAATTCTTGCGCATGCGAATTCTCAATCACAGTATTCGCGTTAATTTCGCAGGCGACTTATTTTTCTCGAGTCGCTGAAATGATTGATAAAGACTCATGTATTAGCCGCATTTTAATCCTGAATTTCCAAATGATTTGCACCCCGGCAAGGTTTATGATATTATTTTCTTGAATTAGTGGTGGCATATAATCACGCTTTATGTCATTAACTAAGCACCCGTCGTTTTTGACGAGCATTCTGATAGATGTACGACTTTTCACTCTTGAAGCTAATAGGTCCGATTATTAGCTTACGTAAGGCTGTCTATTAGTAGTCTTACTAGGCATAATTTAAAATTGGGGGAAATTCTCCAAAGAAGAATCAGTATCGAAATTTCTCAACATTCTCCACCCTCTTATCAGTTCATAATTTCCCGCTTTTGTGGTTTTTGGCGGAGTTCTTCTGGTGAGAGAACATATTTTTTGGGTATTTTTTTCCTGCATAAAAGACGCCATATTCAGGGGAAATTATTTTTCTGCTCATGAAGTTTTTATATAGCTGAAGATCATCATTTAAATCTTTATACTGTATTCCTTGAATTCCCGCGTACGTTTCGAGTCTTTTTTGATGGAAATTAAGTATCTTTGTTTCCTCTCGGTGTGAAATTTGTTATTAGATGAACCGATTTTCGAAGCCTGGATAATCAAGGTTGTACAGTATTTTGTCATGAAACTTGATTTAGTTCAAAACGAATTCCGCATGAAAGAATTTCGTCGTATGATAGCTTTTTGCAGTTTTGTCTTGACGCTGCTCGCCAGTATTTTCCGTGTGTGTCACGTCCCTATTTTTAGTTCTTGGAAAATGTTTCGTCTCAAAACTCGGCATTTGAAGAAACGAGACCCTTTTTTTTGCGGGCGAAGGATGATTATTCCACGAGAGCGAATCTTGGCATTTTTCCGACCGTCCTATTTCCTCCTGATATGCATTGAAGACAAAAACGAAAGGAGATCAACTTCTGCAAATTAGTGGCCTCATACCTAGCAGTCCCAAGTGGCAAAGTAGGCAAAAATAAAATTCGGCGATCCCCAGGAATTCGGGTCGAGCTGGATTCGCGTGCGTGAGCGCAAACGCGAACTCCGGATTCCCCGGCACTTGGTATTTGTGCTGAAATAAAAAATAAAAACACGCAAAAAGGCTTAAAATCTTGCGGGGAAATGCGCATTCCTCCGATCCTGAAAAGAAGAAGAAAAAAAAAACGCGAAAAAAGCCTCCCACTTTATTTTCGGGGGCTGGCTTCACAGATTAGTTCATGCTTCAGCAGATGTTACGATCGAAAATGATGATTCGGTATTTTTGATTTATTTACGATGGTCACATTTTTGATTGAGGGACGACATCTATCGGACGCCCTAAAAATGTTTACGAGGCACCAAAACGGAAGACTCGAGCTCCATGAATTTTTCTTCGTTCTTAAAATCTTGGGTGGAAATGCGCATTCTTCCTATCCTTTAAAGAGAAAAAAACGCGAAAAAACCTCCCATTTGTTTGTTCTTTTCTGGGGCTGGTTTCACAGATTATTTGATGATTCAGCACGATGTTACGTTCGAAAATGATGATTCGGTTTTTTTTTTTTAATATTTACTATGGTCACATTTCTGTTTGAGGGACGACATCTATCGGACGCCCTAAAAGTTTTTACGAGGAACCGAAACGAAAGACTCAAGCTCCATGAATTTTTCCTTCGTCAGTGCCTGTGTCAACTGGAAAATGCGACGTGTTACCTCTCGAGGCGCATTTTTCCAGGGTGAATGCCGAAAGGCGAAATTTCCTGAAGGAGCTCATCACCGCCGAACGAATCAGGTCCCAGAAATTGACGGGGATTAAAAACGAATTCGTGACATTAGCCTTCCTCGAACCGATTTATTTGCGGATGAGTGGAACCTTCATTCTGGTCGTTGATCAGGATAATTTGTCCATGTGGAAAAGAAAAGTATGCATGGGGTACTGGAAGAAAGGATGATGATGAGCTCTGGAGCCCGCAGGCTGAATCGATTCCATTCGCATGTCATGTCGGAATCTGATTAGGGATTATCCGGGGATACACTTATTTTTTTCTTTTTTTTTTTTGAGTGATGGTAACTGGGGCCATGCAGGACACCAATCATTACTAATGTAACAGAGGTGACCTATATAACACAATGGTCAGGACTAAAATTGACTTGCCCACACAGTCTTATTCAGGACGCTCAGACTGATTTTTTTACAAGTAAGGTGATAGCTACTTTAGTCCATAAATGGACATCAACTTATTTCTACCTCGCCCTTTTTCGTTTTTGTCGGGAAAATGTCATCCGATTACTGACAACAACAAAAAGGATCCAATTGAAGTACCATTAATTTCGAAAACCTCTCACGTGCTTCGTGAGATTTCGATTTTTCGAGATCACTGCAGTTTCACCCTCGAAACAATTGTTGCACTTTTCCGAGTAACACACAGCAAATGAATTCATTCGTTAATTTGTTGCCTTCTAAATTTGGCTATTCTGAACACTGAATTAACCGGAAATGAAGAACAAATCATGTGAGTTATAACAGGAATTAACAGCAACCCTTGATGAGCGAAAAAATAAATTGTTTTGCTAATTCTTTACAAACAACATGACTTATAATTTTTAAATTTTTTAAATTATTTTTCGTAATTTGAAATCCTTGAAATGCAATTTTTTTATATAAAGAAGTTTTGCAAATTTTTGACGTGCCAGGGATTTTTTATAATTGCTAAAGATTCAGTTCTCGGATTTTTCCTCCTAACTCCGAAAACAATAAAACAGTTCTGGCATTTTGGTTTTCTGACAATAAATGCCGCATGTCAGTAACTCATGAGCTACAAATTTTTCTTAAAAAAAAAAATTAAATCTATACTCACCTCTAGTATCCTGAATCGAAAAAAGAATTCATGTAACCTGTCCTACAGGAAATGTGAAACTGTCCTGTTGATCTGGGCAAAATTGAAGAAATTTAATTTATCAACCAAAAAAATAAGATGGAGACAATAATACTTTTTTTAAAGCTTTATTACTGGTTTTTAAATGTTCGTAGAACTTTCGAGGAACTCATCGTGTTGTTTTCTTATTTTCGAGTGCTAACTTTTCCATAGCTCGAGAAAAAATAAGGTTGAAAACATTATTCGAATTTATTTCGACTGTCCCAGAGACGATAATTCCATTTACAGTATTTCGAATCACCGACTCCGCGGGATAGAATGAAGAAAATGGAGTTTGTTTGATTTAATGGTAATTTTTAATTTAGTGGAAAAATAATTCGTGCCCCACATTTTTATTTTACACTCGCTTCTGAAACGATTTTTTCGAATATGAAACCCCAGGAATCGTGATGACGGTTTCGGACATTTCGTCTTTATGGAAGCCCGGGGCCTGAAGGAGGGAACCATACTTAGTGTCGGACGAAACGCAGTGGTTAACCCAGTTTGTTGGTACCTCCGGAAAGTACCCGAATAAGTACTTTGCCCAAGATGCTTCCCCCACCTTTTTTTTTGCTGCTTACCACTTGACCACTCTGAAATGATAATTAACCAGCCAGCGGGGGCCGAAATTATTAATAAGCGCAAGCAGCTCGTACACTCGCTTTACTTAATACTCCCTGTATAAAATATTCCATCAAATATCATACAAGGACAAAGTGCGTACTCAAGTTTAATTCCCGAAAATTAGATCAAAAAGAAGGGTGAAATATGACTTATTTTCATTCTCGGCGAGGCCAGGATTGATGCATTTTAAAGCATTGATCTAATTTCCGAAGAGTGTCATGACTGAAAGATTTTTCGTAAACGTTGCTTAGCGGTTTTTACCTGACTGAGTGTCCTTTTTTTTATAAATTTGAATTATAAACTTTTTCTCAGTGGCTTTCTGTTGATGAACATCTGCGTGACTGGGTAGCTTAAAAATCAGGAAATCGAGTTATACCCGATTGATAAATTTTAAAACATTTATCGAATTTCAAAGGAGTATCATGACTCAAGATTTTTCGAAAACGTTGCTTAGCGGTTTTTACACGACTAATTTGTCTTCTTTTTTTATTACTTGAATTCCAAAATGTTAATCAACTTTGTATTTATATCGGCTTTCTCTTGATGAACTCTCTGCTGTGTGACTGGTTGCTTAAGAATCAGGAAATCAAGTTTCAAGTTGTTCGGCATGTCTTACAGTTGCCTGTCGCCTCTTTGTTGTTTCGTCATCGTCACTGTCTGGCTTTCTCTTGATGAACTCTCTGCTGTGTGACTGGTTGCTTAAGAATCAGGAAATCAAGTTTCAAGTTGTTCGGCATGTCTTACAGTTGCCTGTCGCCTCTTTGTTGTTTCGTCATCGTCACTGTCGTCGTTCGACGTCTGATCGACTTTCCAGAGTCGTAAATATTTGATGAGGCGATACCCTGCTTCAGATAATGACACGAACAAATCCAGTTTTTTTTTTCAGAACTGCTTCATGCCTCATTTGCAAGTTCTGGTCCTTCTTTTTTTTTGAAGACGAAACCGTTTGTGTTTTATTATAAAATGTGTCGATGTTTCGTCACCTTTAGGTGTTTTTGGAGTGTTTTGTTCGCAATTTCCTTCCGATTTTTTTTTTGCTTGGGGTTCTGTGATTTTTATTTTTTAGAATACGTTTTTGGGAATGGAGTTCGAATTTATGTATTTTTTGTCCTTTTTGTTCGCAGATTATTATGCAACGAGGAAGGACATGTACCAGCAAGATTCTAGTCTCCGAAGGATAAAACCCTCAGCGTAAGTAGACCGTCTTTTCTTCGATTTTGAAATCCGATTTTCATAAAACATTCGGCTGATTCATACGATGAATAATCAGGATCAACCCGGTTTTTTTTTTAATATTAGATGAATGTAACGTTGATCAGTATTATGATTGGTTGACGAGAGTGTTAAGAGAAGAAGAAGAAGCCCTTCTTTGCGTGATTTATGGTTCACGTCTTATCTTAATTTTCGTTTTCCTGCGCAAGATTTCTTGTGCTGAAAATGAGCTGGTCGCCGGGTTTTATCGCTCGTCGAGATGTCGGAAAGATTTACTGGCTCGCTGTTTCGCGATTTATTCCATTTTTGTGATTGATTTATTTTTATTGCATGCTCTACTTTTTTTCTTGTTGCTGAAAAACGGATAGAACATCGCCGGACCCGAGATTCATCAGCTTCAGAAAAGAAGGCTCGGTTGGAATCCGACTGACGGGCGGAAACCAAGTCGGGATATTCGTGACTGCAGTACAACCGGGTTCGCCGGCTTTCGTTCAGGGTCTGCAGCCTGGAGACAAACTCCTGAAGGTAAATTTCCTATACTTTGTAGTTATAAATATTTGTTTTTTACTTGATGCGGATTTTTTTCTTTTCAAAATATTGACGAGTTCAATCAGGAGGTAGGCTCTTCTATGAACGGGATGACGTAAGTCGACCGAAACTAATGTTATGCGCCTCGTTTATTTTTCGAAAAATAAAATCCTTGAACTTTGTTTCAGACGCTGTTACAAATAGAAATTTTGGTACTTTCCTGTTATCTCAGTACCTACTTTCTGAGCACCTACCAGAAACTGTGAATTTCATTTTTCCGCATTCTGTTGAAACTGATTTTTGGAGGCGGTTAGGTAAAGTTAAGTTAGGTCAGGTTATGTTAGTTACAAATATCTTTCAATTAACGTAACCTGACCTAACCTAACCTAACGAATACTGAATTCACGAGACAAAGAAAAATGGGTACTGAGATAACAGGAAAGTACCGAAATGGGTAACCAAAGAATAAGTCATCCAAATTACTGTACGTGTTTCTGCTTCAATTATTTTGCAAGTGGTTCGCGTTTGCGTCAGTAGGATCAAAGTTCCGCAGAGAGTTAGTCTCTGTCTTTTAATTGAAAGATAGAAATGAAATTTATTTTAATAATCCCGAAGTAAGATGTACCCAATGAAACAAAAGCCTCGCCCATGTTTGAATAAATGTCCGATTTTTTTTAGGAGCGCTGAAACGGACGCTCAATTTATGTTCAGCATTCAATTATAAGTGTTCTGCCAACAATTTGAAACATAGTCACCTTCCAAATTCTTGCCAATTTTATGAACTATCTGAAACCATCACATGACAAAATCATGCTGCTGAATATTCAAACCCCGCACTCACTTTCATTACTGTAAAGATGTGAAAGGTTTTTCGCAAATTTTTGTGATCATTCTGAGAAGCTAAAAATATATTTGGTCCCTTGATAGCGACGTAACGATTATACGAAAACATAAAAAAATTAAAATACGCAGTAATAAAAATCTGAACTGCATATTTGTTTAACCGAATAACCTTCTTTTTCATTCTCAGTCGTGGGAAAAGCGTGTTTCGTTGTTCTCATCCAGAAATTCCAAACAATGGGATAAGTGAACGGAAGAATAGAAAGCAGTTCTTTTTTCTTTTTTTCCATTAATGTGGTTTGATGACTTGGGATTGCTTTTAATGCTTAGTCTTTATAATACATCCCAACTTTCGATGGTTAGATAAGCTTACTTTTACCTGCGACATTCCGAACATACCTTAAATGCTTCTTGATGAAGCTGCAATGTTGTTTTCGGCTGGATAAGAGATACTTTTTTTGGGGGGCCTGGGTTTAGTTGATGACTTTTTACGAATTAATTTATCATTCTTTCGAGGTTGATTGCCTCTTGTTACAAATTCATGCACAGCTTTTTTTTTTTATGATTCAACCGTTTTTCGAGAATCTTGGTCGCCATTTTCTCTCAGAATGTGCAAAAAAGTTTCGAGGCTCCTGAATTCAAAGAATTTGTGGAATATCCTGGATATTTGTGTGTGACGGATGAAGTGAAATTATAATTTTAAAATCTAATTAAATTATCAGGGTTTTTTGTGTATAAGGCCACACTTTCTTTGTTTCGTTTTTTTTTGCCTTCCTTTTTTAAAACCAAGTACTGTGCTGTACTGTTCCGTTTGGAATTTCTGGGACGGGTCTTCATCTCTTTTCATTTTCTCGGAGAAGAACTTTTTCCATTATGCGTCAGCGTGATGATTATGAATAAATAAATGTAGGCTTGTGGGAGGATTCTTGGTCTTTTATCGTACAGGCATAAATTTACGACTTTGTGGAGAGCTGTCGAGTGTTGGCAGAAACAAATTTATGTCAATTTTTTCCGGTGCCCCGCATTCATCCCGTGGCCGCGCCTTTAATGAAATTACGGCGGCTATTTTAAATCACGAGCCCCTTCGGGGAGAAGGTATAGATAGACTTGAGAAGCAGAGAAAAATGAGGACTTGCCTTTGTTAGCTTGAGTTAAATGAGTTGAGCCGGAGCAGAGAATTGATGCGTGGCGATTAAAAGTCACGGGGCGAGGTTTTGACGGGTGTTGGTGGCCATTTAACGCCCGGGTACGAGCCCTGGCGTGGCCATTTTGTAGCATGCGGCCCTTGGGCTACTTCGCATCTGTTGCCATGGTTGCTTTTGTTTTTTTTTTCTGAGCACTTATTGGCAGTGATTTTTGCAGTCGAACCTCGATAAGCCACCGCCATTTGTTTGTAAGGTTTTTGGCGACTGGCGGTTTAATAAAAAAAAAGTTAAAATACGAGGAAAATTCAAATATGAAATGCGTCTAAAAATTGCATTCTTCTAGAAAACAATCAAAATAATCCCAGGTTGCGTAAATTGTAACCAGCTGATGTACCGAAGACGTAAATTATAAAATGTTTGTGCTTTTAAGTTTTTTTTTACATTTAAGATTTAAGACCTCTTGTAGAAACTTGAATCTTGTTGATGGACTGTCAACGATGAAATTTAGTGCCAAAAGCACGTTTGGGTTTTCAGTAATTTTGGCGTACGGTATTTTATCGCGGTTTACAATTCTGTACCTGTACTTCTATGATTAAGGAAACATTTTTTTTAAACACTGAAAAAATAAAGCAATTTTGTCCGGTTATTTTTTTTCTTTGGTCTACGAAATCACGAGACGCTAATCGAGATTTATTCGCAGCTGTGTTTTTTGTTTTGTTTTTTACATCAACCTGGGTTTTATCCGGAATTTTTGTTTTTGTTATAAGGTAATAAAACGCGTCGTTCAAGTGTCCTTAAGATGATGAAACGTTGTTTATTTAAAATTCGATGAGACCTTAATTCGCATCATCCAAGCATTTCAGATATACAGTATGCCCAGAATCGTTCATCTTGAACAAGAGAACACTTGCGTCATTGTTCCTCTCAATAACTCTCGAATTGTCGTAGTTTTTGCAAAAAGAAAGAGAGAGAGAAGAAAGAAGTCCTGGTCTTGTTATTGAAGTGCCCCCTCCCCCCATCCCCCTTTTTTTTGTGGTGTTGCTTTGTTTTCAATTTCTTCGGGCTGAGGGTCCTAATTCGAAGTGGCTCCTTGTGGGGCTGTGGAATCTGTTGATGAGGCCGTTGTTCCCGAGATAACGCCGGGTTCATCACCGGGCTCTTCACCTGATGGCCCAGCAAGAATTTTAACGTCCCCCCCCCCCCCCCCCCTCGTGGTTCCCCATTGCGTTATCGTGCCGTAACTCCGTTACTTCAATTCTCCCCCTTTTGAGTGGGGGGGAATTCACGAGCGAATACACTCTTTGATGGGTTGCACTTGATGAACTGTACAAAAAGGAGGAATACAGTTGGGTCCGCTTTGTACAGCAACGAAACTAATCGCTTCCATAGGGGTTTTCCTGTTATGCGAGGATTTCTTCGACGTGTGGATCAAAAAATCCTTCACGGTTCGATTGAGAGGGGAAAAAATGTATAAATTTTCCACGCAAAATAAAAATTTTAAGAGACCCGAAAAATTTTGCAATACTACATTTACAGAAGTAACATTTCCCACTGTACAGTTCATTGAAATGTTGGCATCTGCAAAAATAACTAAAAGTAACAAAAAGAGAAAGGAAGTCCCTCTGCGTTGCAGGTAATTTTTTTTAAATTAGCTGAATGAATGGGAAAGTGATGGAAAAGTACCAAAGAATTTTTCTTATATAGATCTTAGGGTTGGAAATTTCTGTTTTCTTGCAATTAAGCCTAATAAAAGTCAATTTTCCTAAAAAATGTTTGGCACTTTTATCATGCAATGTCCTTATGTCGAGTCAGTGTCCCTACGTCGGGCCTTTTTGATAATTTTTTTCATTGAAAAATAAATTTTCGTACGTCAAAATGTCCCCATGTCGAGGTGTCCCCATGTGGGGGTCTCACTGTATTTCTTTTTAGAGAACCCCTATCCTATAAACATGAGTACAGAACTCTACGGGATCAAATCAAAATTCGTTATGCAGAGAAATTCGTTATAGACGAGATCATCGTAGAGAGACAGCTATCCATCCGCATCCTATAATGTAGAATAGCACCACGAAACATTCCTCCTGGCACACCTATAAATCGTATACATCACTTTTGGGAGAAACACTTACAATTATGTTGACTTGAATGTAAAAAAAAAAAAAACGTTGACGAGACGTTTCTTGAAAGGGCTTCAAAAAGAGGGCGTCTACTGAATGTATTGGAAAAGTAAACTTTGAATGATCGACTCTTGAAGTCACTTGGACGCTGGAGCTAACTTGAAAGATAAATCGAGCGAGTAAAAATGTGAGGAGTGTTTATTTATTATAACATTTGCTTCTCTTTTTTTTTTGTTCATCCCGAGGAAATGAGAAGTGTACGAAGAAGGACAGAGAGGAGAGGGGAAAGGGAGAATACCATGGATGATGTGGTGGAAGAGAGGTTTGAGGTTGAAAAATCTGTGGTTGTGTTTGTTGCTCAGGTCAATGACATGGACATGAAGGGAGTAACGAGGGAAGAAGCCGTCCTGTTCCTCTTGTCGCTGCAGGACCAGGTGGATCTGATCGTCCAGTACCGAGCTGAGGAATACGAAGACATCCTGGCTCATCAGAAGGGCGATTCCTTTTACATCAAGTAAGTTATGTCTCACATATTACTGTATAAACTGTACTTACATGGGTGTTCAATTTTCACCCGCACTTTTTTTTTTTTTTTTTTTTGATGGAAAGCTGGCGGTGGGCTTTAAACAAAGCCAGATGTTATAAGAAATTATTAGGCCAGACTATCTGTTCGCAACTTCTTTCTTGAAACAAATGGTTACATTCCACCATTATTATGATCTTGCTTTGCTGAAATCGCCGAGAATGGCTCCGATAATTTTCGCCAGTACAGTACTTTTTTTTTTTGACCTCCCGTCGAAAATTGAACGCAACGCGATTGAGCGTTTCGTCTTCCTACTGAGCAACTCAGCGTCACCGAACTGCGCATTTCACAGTCAGCCCTTTCTAAATACTATTAATTGTTAAACCTGTAGAATATTGTTTTGTCAACTACAGTACCTTGACTGGTACGATATTTCTTATAATGGTTCTACTGTCTTCTATATAGAAAATTTAGGGTCTTTAGAACCCAAATTTCGCACTGCTTTTAAAATGGCATATTCATTAATAATATTGTCATCTACTCTAGACAACTTCGCCATATATTTATGATTTACTCCATCCCTATGCTTGAATATGTTATGCTTTTTATTTGGAGAAAATTCCCAAAACATTTTTGTGTCTGATTTTTTATTGACAAGTCTTGAAATTTGCCAGCAGAGAGTAGATGATTATAGTCAAACCTCCTGCAAGGGACCAGCAAAAAATTCAACTTCACAAGGTTTCAAGTTGCGGGAAACAAGCATTTTTATTCTGGGAAAGATATAGGAATTGTTGAAAAATGTGAATGGTGATTTTCTGGGCCTTAAAGTGCTTCTTAAATGAGTTGACAGGATACTGAACTTGGAGGCAGGGGCTCATGTGCCCAATTAGTCTTTCACTTCCTTTGAAAACACATCAAGTTACTTTTTCATCATTTTAATAGCCATAAGGCCAGCAAAAAAATTCTTATTGAGGTTTGAGAGGAAAAGCCTTTGCGCTACAGAACAATGTTTCTAAGGGAATTCAGACAGGGACTAGAAAAAAAATTTGACTCAGAAAGGCTCAAGTTCACCTGTATATTGGTTTGACTTTACAGATTTGAAATATACTTCTCTTTGAACTCTTGTTTCACTCACCAAGCTTTCATACATAACTTCTTCAAGTAAGGAAAACCTCACTAGTAATGGAAATCAACTGCAACTAATTTAATCCCAAGAATACTGGTACAGTAGTTTTTTGCCTCCAAGAAAGAAAGAGGGTTTCGGAATTATGGTCATGTCGAGGATATTTTGCACTAAATTCCATAAGAAAATATTTGCCTCTTGTTACTTGCTTTCTGATTGGAATGATGATTCGTAAACCGAGTCAAGCAATCTATTTTGCTGACGCGCAATTGTCCCGGCGCTGAGATGAGTTTAGCGTTTGTGTGGACCTTCCTTCCTCTCTTGAATCCCTTGCTTCAGTCCAAATATGACAGGAATTTATCCTCTTAGCCCTCATGCTGTAGGTTTCTTGAAGACGATAAAGCGGCTAATATTTTTCCTGGCTCTTTTCATACTCATGTCGATCGAGCACATGTTCTCATTCTTCGAGGATACTTGAGAGTGTTGTGAACGCGAAAATCTGCTGTGCCTAGCGACGTGGAATCTGTCGCTAGTTCTTATACTAAGCGGTAAATCTCTTATAGAGGATTATTGTATCATTGAACAGAAAATAGACCGAGAAAGAAGTTTACCTATTTTCCTCTTTTTTCGCGGATAATTTATTCCAATCTATAGTTACATGGGCGAGGCAGGAGTAACTTTTTTCGTTTTTCTTAAATTTGTGGTGTACGAAACTTTGCTGAAATTAGGGATAGACAAAAATATAGACTTAATTTCAATTGTAAAAATGTATATTTTGTTGGGAGAAAAAACGCTAAATTTAAGTTTTTAAGTTCTTCGATTTATGTCGCATTCGTTGTGGCAGCTAAAGAAATTTGAGAAATGCGCAAGCGAAGAGAAATTTGCTACCTGCAAGTCTTCGTAATTTTTGTATTTTCGCACGATCGAATTTATCATTGAACAGAAAATAGACCAAGAAAGAAGTCTACACTAATTTTCCACTTTTTACGCGGATAACTTATTCCAATCTGTATTTACGAACTCATGTGCGACGCAGGAGTAACTTTTTTTTCGTTTTTTTTAAAGTTGTGGTGTACGAAACTTTGCTGAAATTAGAGATAGACAAAAATATGGACTTAATTTCAATTGGAAAAATGTAGATTTTCTTGGGAAAAAACGCTAAATTTAAGTTTTTTTAATTCTTCGATTTATGTCGCATTCGCTGTGGCAGCTAAAGAAATTTGAGAAATGCGCAAGCGAAGAGAAATTTGCTACCTGCAAGTCTTCGTAATTTTTGTATTTTCGCACGATCGAATTTATCATTGAACAGAAAATAGACCAAGAAAGAAGTTTACACTAATTTTCCACTTTTTACGCGGATAACTTATTCCAATCTGTATTTACGAACTCATGTGCGACGCAGGAGTAACTTTTTTTTCGTTTTTCTTAAAGTTGTGGTGTACGAAACTTTGCTGAAATTAGGGATAGACAAAAAATATGTACTTAATTTTAATTGGAAAAATAGATATTTTGTTGGGGGAAAGTGGTAAATTTGAGTCTTTAAATTCTTACGATTCATGTCGCATTCGCTGTGGCAGCTCAAGAAATTTGAGAAATACGCAAGCAAAGAGAAATTTGCTACCTGCAAGTCTTCGTAATTTTTGTATTTTTGCCCGGTCGAATTTATTCACGAACATCAGCTAGCCAAAAAAGGTTTGAGGACTTATTTCTAATTTTTGACAAAAAGGAGGATAAATTAAATACATCAGCATTGAAGTCTAAGGGAAAATGGGACTCGACTCTCGGACATTCGGACACTCTTGATGCACCAATTAAGTCCGCATCTCGCTGTATTTTCTCTACTTTGGCGTCTGAAATTGTTGCAGGGAATCGAAAAGTTTTTCTGAAACGCTTTCTTTTTCATCTCGTGAATTTCAGGACGCATTTCAATTACGAAACGCCTCAGAAAGGAGAGATGAGCTTCCGGAAAGGGGACGTATTCCACGTTGTGGACACGTTGCATAACGGAGTCGTCGGATCGTGGCAAGTTTACCGAATCGGTGAGTTATTTATCTTTCCTCTTTATGCCCAAGTTTGTGTCTTGACCTTTCATCTGCTCGCTTATCGTCTTCTATATGCATGTATTATTCTTGAGCCCATTCTTTGCCTGGCCCTTGGGCAGAGACGCCGGGATATTCCTGACAAATTCATTGCCCAAGGATGAGCAAATATTTAAACCGAGACCTTTTGGTTTATCAAGAGTCTGAAAATGTTTTTCTCTTACGAGCAGAGCATTTTATGTTAAATATAATAATTGTTATTCAGAGAAATTTTATTATAATCTAAATATTCTTCAAAAAAATTGAAAAAATTTTCTATTTTCTTTTTTTTAATCATTTTTTTAGTTAATAAAATCTATCAAAAATTTTTAATAAATTAAGAACTGTCAATAATAGTTATTTTAAAATGTTTTGGTGAAAGAAGGACAAAGTTTACATTTTTATTTCTGCGAAAAAAGAAAAATCCGCGAAGTTGTAAAATCGTGGTACAGTATTCGTGAATGAGATGTCCAAAAGATTAATTAAATTAAGAACACGTTTTCGTGTCACTCTTGTGATTAAAAAAGGGGGGGGGGAAACCATGTTTTTCGAGGAAACGAGATGGTCCAAAACACCTTTTTTGATCCGTGTCTTGTCGCATTACTGAAAAAAGGGTGTAATTCGCATGTAGTGAAGAAAACGAACCCTGTTGATCTCGTAAATGGAACACACACGAAAATCTTCAATTTCTGGAAAGCGAAACGTTAAGGAAGACATTTTCCTCGGATAAATACTCTTGATTCAATTGAAACTCGTCGTCCTTCCACTTGGTGATAACGCGGGGCAAAGTCATGAGAGAACCCAGATTTGGTTATGTTTGACGCTTTTTGCGAGATTAGTTTCATTCCTATATATGTATATATATATGGACTCGGAGGGGAGAGGAAACGGAGACGAGTCTCGCGATGATGGTTTTTTGATGCGAAAAAACCGTTCGGAAGTGCGGAAAAAGGGGGATTTTGTTTTGGCACTCAGCGGAATCAGAGCGCGTCAATTTCGAAGAAAAGCTTACGAGTGATAATCGGCTGGGACAAATCCGCCGTGATGCAATTTACCTTTACGGGGATTTAGTTTCGCGTAGCGTGTAATTTGTTCTATCCATTTTGTTAATCCCTTGATGCTGTGATGAAGTCAAAAATGAATGCATTTTCTGCCTTGCTGGGGTAAAAGAAAAAAATAAAAAGTACCGTCTATACAAACCACGTTTCGGAGTTTCAATTTCGATGCTAAATTGTACCATTTTCAAAATGAAAGAGGCTAGTATTTAAATGCCAGAAGTATGAATTCCATCGATAAAATACCGCTAAACTATTTGTGCTTAAATAGCTGAATGTGTAAAAAAATATATGCAAAAAAGTAATAAATAAATGCGAAACTGAAAAAAAAATCAATCCAATCTGAGAAGCGGTCTGAATCAATGCCATCAGTGTTCTTTAATGCTACGATGGATTCAGCAAAAATTTCTCGCTCTCTTCTTCAAAAAAATTTTTTAAACGCAAGTTTCAGCTTTTGATTTTACGACTAATTGAACTGAAATGGGTAAAACTGCCAAAGAAATGGCAAATGGGTTTTTATATTTTGAAGTAGTTTGTTCTAATTTGTCGGAAATGCAAGGAAACAAAAATTAAAGTTACTGTAGTATTTTTCAAGTTTTTATTCACTTATTTACAGTGGACGTGACGTGTAACAGGGAAGAAGGTATAAAAGATTTTCAACTGGTACAGAACAAGATATTATCATTTATTTGATTTCAAATTTGAATTGTCAGCGTGCATAGTTGAAATTTCAGATTGATAAAGTCAATTCCACGATTTTTTTTGCTAATTTCTAGAAGCACTTCATTCACATTTTTAATTAGAATATACCTAAATGTCTGTAGGAGAAAATGAAAGACAAATCAGTTGTATAAAATGGCGAAGCATTCAGAGTAAATTTTAAAAATTATATATATTTGTTTGCAAATCAATTTTAAAATTTTCTGGGTCACATTTCCTTTCTTTGTTCCAGTGTATGCTTTAATTGCAATATTGTGTTTAAGTTTGAAAGAAGACTTTCCTGATTTTGACAACTTTTCCCCACGCATGTTTTTTCTTTCAAATGACCGTAAAGAATATCATGGCTGATTTCCATTATAATAAATGCCTTTCAAAAACAGTGTAATTCAGCTCCTGGTTTAACTTGACTGCAAAGTTATAACAGTTCAGTTTTTTTTCCTGAGGCTCTTCGATATCGAGTCCAGAAAAGTCTGTGATTTCTTCTATTCCACCAGAGATTCCTTTTTTTTAATCATTTGAAAATTCTTTTCGAGCGAAGATTTATTCATGAAAGAACTGAAAGTCCATCCGTGTAATGAGCCAAATGGGCGCCTCTCAACTGAGCATAGGACATGTGATCATCACGGCCGACCAACAAGTGTCAAATCAGTGACTGTCAAATTGTTCTCGAGTTACGTGAATGTGTGAAATACATGTCCCACTCTGTCCCGTCTCATTCGAGACATTTCATATTTTGACGACAGGGGTTTTTGGCATAGAAAACAAATCTCGAGAAGTGCAAGTTTTTTTTTTTTAATCATGAAACTATTCGCCTTTCGTGTGCGCCATGCTTTTAGATGCCTTGCGCTCAGTTGTTCTCGGCGCTCTTTTCGTCCTTGACCGTAACATTTGCAGCAAATTGTATGCAATTTCTCTCTTTTTTTTCTTCTTCCGCAAAGGTCGGCACAACGAAGAGACGCAAAAGGGGACAATACCGAACAAGAGCAGGGCCGAAGAACTGGCAACAGCGCAGTTCAATGCGTCCAAGAAAGACGTGTCGACTGAGTCGTCGAGCGCGACGAAGAGCAGCTTTTTCCGCAGGAAACGAGCAGCTCGTCGGTCAAAGTCCTTGTGCAAGGTATGCTTATCATCCTGCTTCATCATCACCGCGATTCACAGCAGGAGGAGGAAAATAAAAATGAATAAAATGTTTTATCATCACTTGACAATATAACCGAGATTGTATAGCGTAATTATTATTTTTTTGGTCGCGCTCTTCGGCGTGAATTCCTGGTTAATTACTCGGAATCAGACGTCGTTGTGTGTGATTCAATGCGATGATTATTTTTCCTTCTGTTTTTTTTTTTCGGATGCTTATCAGGATCCATTCGACGACATGTTGTGCAATGACTCTTCCATCTCCAAGTTCCCGGCGTATGAAAGGGTTTCCTTGTGCCATCCGGGTTTCACTCGCCCTGTCGTCATCTTCGGCCCACTTTCGGACATTGCCAGGGAACGGCTGCTGAAAGACTCTCCTGATCGCTTCTGCTCGCCACGTTAGTAATAAATATGAATTAATAAAAAATATATGTGTATGTAAAGAAACTCGACGGGGTTTCTCCACAAAAGTTCCTTGGGAGTTGGTGAGAAATCGTCGGGGCAGGGGGTGAAACTTATAAACAAATGAATTAGCCAAAGAAAAATGTCGTATTTACTCAAGTACCACGCAGCCCTTGAGTAAGACACGCACCCCAATTTTTTTTAACCCTAAAATTCTGATGAACTACTGTCCTCAAGTAAGACGCGCTCACAATTTTTAGTGATTGAAGAATTATATTATTCGAAAATAAGAGACACCAATTCAATTTTGGACATGAATTCAATCAATTAAAAAAAATTTATTCGAAGAGTTCCTGCCAAAAATTTCCCGTAATATTCAAGTGTGACGCGCAACTAAACTTATAACAAATTTTGAAAATTTCATCCCCGACTATGACGCACATTCTCTCTTTTCATCTCAATATTTATAAAAAAGGTACTTGAATAAATACTGTAAATAGGAAATGCGAGGGGTTAAAATTTTTTTTTCTAACGTGGTCATCAAAAAAACTATTTAAATCCGCCTGATGAAATATGAGATGTTAGCAGAACTGATGTCAGAGACCTCTGGTGTTAATCGATGGAAGATTTCAGGAACAGTTGCAGTGAAATCGTAATATTTAATTTTTTATTAATTTTGTGATGAGCCTCATTTTTTTTAGCTAGAATGTTTTCCGATGTTTTTCAACATGCTTCTGTAATTTTTCTTTTATTTTTCTTTATGAAAATAAACAGTAATGTTTTCAAAATGACTAAACGTCAATTCGTGGTTTCCTTCCTCAGGAAAATACATCTTACGACACAGTCAAAAGATATGAGGCTGTGTCAAGATGAAAATTTATCTAATCTTACCAGTGTTTGTGTGACTAGTAGACCACCCGAGATGTATCGGAAAAATAATAAGTGCACTCACCCTTTTCCGGCAGAAAAATTTTGCAGGCAAAGTAAAATAATTTGCGAGCATTTTTTCCGTTCTTTACTCTGAAGGGAATAGAGATGCAGTAATTTAGTAATAAACCAATAAATTTTTGGTTGATATTTCTCATTACAATATTGCGATGAAGAAATATTTTTTATTTATATGATCGACGTGAGTTGATGATCCCATCGAATCTGTTAAATTTGTGGGAGATGTTTTGTCGTTCTATTTTTAATCTCGAATAATTTTTTTGTTTTGTTTTTAGAAATGGAAAGCCGAGCACCGGAAGGCACAAAGAAGCCGTGCTCGGGGATCATTCGGTTGAGTTCCATCAGGGAGATTATCGACAGGGGAAAACACGCCGTGCTTGACGTCACTCCCAATGCTGTCGACAAGCTGAATTATGCCCAGTTGTATCCCATCACCATCTTCATCAAGGCAGAGTCCAAGGCTCAGATCAAAGAGCTGCGTTCTCGCAACAACCCGTTAGTTGTTTTGTTGTTTTCTGTGTCTTCGCCTCTAAATTTATTTTCAGAGAATATTTTGAAAAATCTTTGATTGCTTTCTTCAAATCAATGCTCGTACATGAAAAAAAGGAGAGAATTTTTGGGCTCTGTTTAAAAGAATTTGTTATTTTTGTCCTTAAAGAAATGCGCTCTTGCGTGTTTCCATTTTGAAAGCAATATTTATGAGGGAAAGTACTTCTTTGAGAAATTATTCAGAATAGTTGTATGAGGAAGGTCTTTTTTTTGGAATCCCAAACTTATGATTTGGAGCCATTGAATAATTGAAAATACTTGAATCAAGCCTTGGCTAATTTTTTTTTTTTTTTTAGAATTTCATCAAGCGTTAGACTTTAGTGGGACAACTTTTTGCTATCCATTCAGCATTTTGAGTCAACCGTCACAAACATTCACGCGAAATTTACAACGAAAAGAGGCATTTTTTAATTTAATAATTTTCAGATTTTGGATCTTGTCAATGCGAATATTTTTGATTCATTGATAAACTGGTTAATGCGGTTGCCCTTGGAAAAAGTCAGGTTTAGTTTCCAATTCGCTCTTTCTTCTCTATTCGTATTTTAACCTTAAAAAAAATTGAGCGGTAGTCAGATAAATAGAAGATAAATATCAATTTGAAATAACTATGCGCAGATATTACGTGAATTCAACAAATCTCTGAGATCGAAAGCGAAAGATTGACAACAACAGTTCACAGGAAGCCTTCGTATAACTCGCGTCTTCTTCAATTTGCCAATTCTCAAATTTAATGAATGCTTGGTGTTGTTTTTCTTTTTAATTTGGCGAACTTTCCTCTACTAACGAAATTGGATTGCAGCTTTCCCTACATTTTAAAAGATTTTTTCTGGGAAGCAGACCGAATGCGGGGATGAAACGTCGCCTTCGCCGAAAAAAAAAACTAGCATGCAAAAAGATGAACTGAAAATTCAAATTATGTGTTGATTGCTTCTATATGCTCGGAGTCTCGGACGAGAGATTAACATGCAATTTTGCTCTGATTGACAGGCAACACAAGAGTTCCAGAAAACTGTATGACCAGTGTCTCAAGCTGGACAAGCACTGGTCGCAGATCTTCACCAGCACTCTGACCTTGCCTGGTTCCACGGACAACACTTGGTACAATAAAACCCGAGACATTATCGATCGCCAGCAAAGCCAGCCGATTTGGATGTCCGAAACAAAGGTCAGTGCATTGTCCCGATCCTGGATTTTTCATCAACTTCGTCTCCGTGACGCCACGAAACGCTTCGGCGTTGCTATTCGTTAGTTTCATTATTCACTAGATTTTGACGAAGGAAAAAAAATAAGCTATACAGTATTCTCACACATGAGTTGCCCAGAAGCCTCTTTTGTCACGTAAAAGTTATTTCTCAGGGAAAATCTTCCAAAGAAGAAGAGTATTTTCGAACGCTTTGAACCTTGCGCTCGACAGAATTTTATTTATTAGTTTTTTTTTGTGTGGGAGAAATTCTGCTTTCTTTTGCTATTGTCACGACTCTCGTGAAGTTCCACACCGTTGTCACAGAGAAATTTCTATTTTCTACTGCTTGAGATTTTTCTCCGAATTTCTCGAGTCTAAAATAATTTTCGATGGTTTGTTTTCGGTCAAGTAAATTTAATTATGCACTTCGGTACGAGGTCACCCTATTATTATTATATATATTTTGGCAAATTAATCGAAGGAAGTCCGATTTTTTGTTTCTTGAATTTCAGTGAGAACCAAATATTTAACAACTTTTTTCATGCGTTATTGAGGAAAATTTCCAAGAAATTTCGTACGCTGTTGAAAAGCGAAAATTTTGTTGGAAACCATCTTTCTGTGCTAATTTTAATTCTGCATCAAAGCTTCATGAAATTAATTCATAAATAATGTGAAGTTGAGGACGAAAGTCATTTCTGCGAACGCCATTTTTTCAAAATGAAAAACGAAAAAAAAAAATATTTGAGTTCGGTGAGGAAGTTTTCGATGCTTAATAACGTAAAATCGGGGCAATCTTTTGATTTCATGGTGAAACTTTTATTAGTTTCAACTTTCACTCGTATCACACGATTTTGAGAGGCTTCTGGAAATAATGTTATCACTTTTAGAAGAAGTTTGATGTTGAAGAGTCGTTTCTTTCTTTTCATTCCCTCCTCTTTTTCGCTGCACACACGGAATCGCTGCCTCACGCCTTAATTTTTTGGGGTGTGAAATCTTGGGATTAAAAACCAAACAAAAAAATCGTCACTTTATTCGTTTGATTTTTTATCTAATTTTTTTTTCTGGGGAACAATTTTTTGTACGTTTGGCTGGCAATGTTTGTATTATTATTATCGTGTGCTGTAGCCTGTAGAATTTTGCTCCGATGTGTTTCTAATGCCTCTGCGTCCGCCGAGTCCACCGGAAGCGGTTTTTTCGACTGCCGGGTTCGTTCCTGCGAGTCAATGGAACCCGCCTTTGAAAGACTTTCCGGTGGGCGAGGATGGCGTCGATGTGACAGCGACGACAGCGACATCGACGACGACGTCTGTTAAACTGTCGAAAAATACTCGCTTGAACCCATTCCGTCGACTGCCCACGTTCCTATGACACTCAGCCTATGTTTCTGTTTCATTTGTTCGCTCTCACGTATTATTTTTTGCAACCCTCGTCCACGTCGTCGATGTGGCTTCTCTCTTTGTTTTTTGTCGAGGCTGTATTGCTTTTGAGTTGGTCATAGTTGTGTAGTTTAGTCTGCCAAAAAAAAAAGGAAACAAAGAAGAGAGAAGGGATGGATTTCCGGTGAGGAGACGGATGTCGTACGTTTCGAAATTTTTCTCGGGATTGAATCGAAGTTGATTGGCATGACAGTTTAATTCCTTGAACTCTCCGAGTCTTGAAAGAGACGTCATTAGAATGAAAAATATTGTGATAAATTATCCAGCTTCTGCAGACTTGGAATTATGATTTTTTTTTTTAATAACCGGGCTCTGGAAATACTGTTCTTCACAAAGCTTCGCAGGCAATACTTTTTACGCTCTAATATACCTGTTCTTGAGTTGGACGAAGTCAGTTTTCAAAGCTATTTAAGAGAAGATTGATACAGTATTAATTATCTTACTTTTTACATTCAGATGCAAAAGTATTTTAAAATTTCCTCATGCATGTCTATATTGCAAATCGTTAAACGAGACTGATGTGGAACATTTTTCTCAATCTATTTCTCTTAATAATTCCCGCATTTGTTTTCCATCGCCGTGATTATTTTTTGCGTATTGTGAAAAAAAATTGCATGTCTAGAATAAGACTGAGGATTAAGTTACTGTATTTTCTTCCACTTACTGAAAAATCAACAGTCATGTTAAAGAGTTGAAAAATAAATTATACCAGACTCAAACTTATTCAATTCTGGTAAAAAGCAGTACCTTCGAAAATTAACAGTGGAAATTTCTCTCCGTGATCTCCAAGCTGGGAATATAAAGACGATTTTTGAAAAAGTATCTATTAGAACAAAACACAAAAATGTTAATTGGGTGAAATCGAGTCGAGCTACTTAAAAATGATTGAGCTTGTATTGGAAACTCTCTTGAATTATTTTCAAGTTAATTTATTTCAGTATCATCTGACGGAGAACTTTTGAAGATGCCTTCGACTCTGAAAAAAAAAAACCTTCTTCACTAAAACTGAGGGCTTTTTTGAGTTTTGACGGCAATGTTATTAAGTTTATGTCTGATAGTAGACGATATTTTACTTGACAAACGCGGCCAAAGGCTTTTTTTCCATTCCGAGAACTTTTCAAATCACCGTCGCAGATCAGGAGGGAAAATTATATACAGTTGTAGAAAGATTTTTGAATATTTATGCGAGGCTCGGAAATCTTCATCAATTTTGTCTTAATGAAAAAGAAGCCAAAAATATTCAGATATATTTTGACAGCGCATATGTTCCCTTTGAAAAAAAAAAGAGGCGCTATTTTCATCAAAATACAAAACAGATTCTCACGCAGAACTTCGTATAGTTTTTTCCCACTCTACTAAAAATGTTTCAAGCAAAACAAGGACACAGAGAAAAAAAATGTCGACTTTTCTGTCGTTGTTACTGTGTGTGAAGTTTGACTGGGATATTTTTTTTCTTTGCCTGCGATGAGTGAGTGTAGAAAAGAAAAAGAAAAAAATCGCTTCCCGCATCGGTTAAGGCGGCATATACCTGCATTTGCTCACAGAGAAAAAAAAGAAAAGAGGGAGAAGAAACCGGCGAGTATATTTTTGATTCCTGAAAATTTCCTGAGTTCCGTGTGCCCCTTTTTTCCCCCAGAGAGAAAAAAAGGGTTTTCTTTCCTTGGGTTTTTCTTCTTCCGCACCGGTGTGGCTCCCTCGAGGTTTCATGTAGTCTCACCCCGGAAGTTGTCGGCGGCGAAACGCTTTGAAAGACACTCGGGTTTTAAAAGAGAGAGAAAAGAAAAAAAGAAAACTTCGGTCTGGCGTTTTTTTGATGTTGTTAAATTTTCGGGCTCTATTTCACGAGAAAAGAACGAAAAGAAAAGGGGGAGAAGACTTTTTTTTTTCGAACCTCTCATCCGTATATTAGAGAGAAGGATCCTTATAGTTGATGTGTCGATAACCCTGTGGTCCTCGCCGGATCCTGGAGTCCGTGTGTCCGCTTTCATTCGGTGTGCTTGTCGTGGCTCATTCTCGACAAAATATTCCACTGAGACACTTGAATTTTCTCTTACACGTTCTCTAACATTACGAGGGATGGTTCATAAATGTTGTTTTTTCGATGATCCCCTCGAATAAAGTTCGTGGTCAAACCACCGCGAGATCGATCCCGAGATTTCACTGGAATATTGATGAGCCCTTTTAATTCGTTGAGAATTATCTTCAAATCGAGAGTTTCATTAGAAAATGGTTGATGAACGCAGTTCTCAATTGTTCAAATTTAGAAAGCCATATAAGATAAAATTCACGTATGAATATGGCGAGTAGATCTCAATTTTCCGACAAAGATTGGGTTCATTTTCAACAGCAGCCAGGGGTTAAATTTTAGCAAGCGAAAATCGTGTCCATTAGTATTCATTTCTGACCGGATTCTTAAATTTAAAAAAAAAATCACGAGACTGGAATCTTGAGAATTCTCTTTAAATCGAGCTCTTCGTTAGAAAATGGTTGTCAGAACAGTAAAAATGGTCGATGAACACAATTCTCAATTCTTCAAATTTAGAAAGCCTTATGTAAAATAAAATTCAAGTATGACTGTGGCGAATAGATGTCAATTTTCCGACAAAGATTGGGTTGATTTTCAACAGCAGCCAGGCGTGAAATTTTAGCAAGCGAAAATCGTGTCCATTGGTATTCATTTCTGACCGGATTCTTAATTTAAAAAATAAAATAAAAATTACGAGACTGGAAGAACTAACGAAGTAGCTCTTTTAATTCTTCTAATCATAAACTTTGTTTACGTCACTTTGAAAGAATATTTCTGTCATCTCAAAACAATCGCGGGTTTTCTGTCCAAACTTATTTTTTTCTTTTTAATATTTGCTGTTCGACGTTCTCGGGGTTTGAAAGCGAGTGGATGCGATCACTCAAGGAAAAAAAAGGGGGGGGGGGGGTTATTTCATTCCCGAAAACCATTTCTTATTTCGTATTGTTGAAAATTGCAACCTGGAGGCATATTATTCAGTATTTTTCTCTTCGGTGGGAATTGAAAAATGGATTTAAAAAAAAACGGAATTCTGTTTGCGATTCTGCAGAGGATATTTTTTTCTGAAAGAAAAATAAATTACTTTCGTCGCGTTCACGTATGAATAAGTTGATGTTTGTTGACGTGTTCTAAACAGTTTTTGTTTTGGTTTTTGCGTTTGTGTTACCGTGTTTTTCAAGACTGCGTTTTCTAATGTGTTTTATTCCGTTTTTTTGCTCTTCGAACTCCCAATCTTTCATCGCTAACTGGGTTTCCGTGGGAATCATCTTTATGAAACTTATACTCTGGAAACTGTTTGTGTCTCGCCTGCTGCTTGCTGCTGCTGCTTCGGGTGTGTTTGTCGTGGTGGTGTTGGTTCGCTTTCGTTTTTTTTTTTTTTCTGGGCACGTTTCGGGGTTTTCTTCGGGTTCTCCTATTCCCCTTATTTTGCTGACGACGGCGGCGACAAAAACAAAAACAGCCGGACGAGTCTTTGGCGGACGACTTCCTGTTCCCGATGGCGTCCCGACTGAGTTACGCGTCGTCGCCCGGGGAATCCGACGTCGAAAGCGGGGCACACATGAGGTCGAGGTCGGTGGACTGTCGAGGCAGGTCAAGCAGTCCGCCGAGTGCGAGGCTGGAGCGGTCTTCGTCGGATCCGAACCTGGCGGCGGCTGGACCGCCTCCCGCGGCGCCGCACGTGACGGCGGCGCTGGGCTTGGATGGCGGCTTGTCGCAGCAGCAGCAGCAAGGTGTCGTGGCGGCGGCGGCGGCGGTTGGCGGCATGATGGTGATGTCTGATGACGGCATGACGCCGACTTATTCGGGTCCGCCGCCTTACACTGCGGCGCCTTTCCAGCCTGTAAGTGACTCAGTTGTACAAACGCGTGTGTGTGTTTTTTTTAAATATATATTTTAGTTACTGCCATAGATTTACCCAGAGAAAATATTTTCACTTGTGATGAGGGAGGTTTAAAATTTCACTATAGTGAAATTGATTGGCATACACAGGCGTCATCAAATTCAGAGAAGATTAAGATAACAAGTTAAATATATATATATATTACTTTTCTATATCCTGTCTCAATAAAATGATAGCCGAAAGACCTCCAGAAAATTCGAGTTATGATGGAAGTTTTTAATAAATTTTTTCTGGGGGAATTCACATAGGGACTTTGAAAAAATTCGCATTGGGATTTTCGAATCGCACAGTTTTAACTCGTGTCAATTTCAGGACTACGAGACACACGCGGAGGCAATGCGGAGATCTCAGGCCGTGGACTCCAAGTACGGGTTTGCGGCATCCGCAGGAACAGCATCAACGTCCTCCTCATCACGCCAGTATCCGTCCTCGTCGGGTTTGTATTCCCACGCCAGGTCCCAGTCCGGAGACCGACTGGGTCAGCCAGCCTCTTTGCCAGCCATGCAAACCTACGACCCGTATTCCTTGAACAAACCCCCGGCGCCGAAAATGGGCGTCCTCAGCTCGGACTTGGCAGCGGGTCGAGCACTCAGCTACATGGTGAATGGCGGCGTGGCGACGTTGCAGCGAGCGCAGTCGCCGACGTACGGGACGACGCCGAATGGTCGCGTCGTTGGTGGCGGCCCGGAATTGCCGCCGAAAATTGATAGGACGAAGAAGCCGTTGAAGAAGTCGGCGCAGGAGCGGTTGTTCGGAGCCAGAGCCCCGGAGGAAGCGAATGGATGGCCTGTCATTCCTGTTCCTGTAGCATCAGGTCCGTCGCCGTTGATCACGCACTCGCCGGTCTTGCCGCGGCACCCGATGGCCAACGGAACAAAGGTGCCGGAGCCTAGTTTGCTTTTCTTGTTGGAAGATGTCGCGCGAGTGCTATGTGATCATGGAGTTATCCTCCATGCCAATAAAGTTTTGGTAAAGGGTTGAAGAGTAGCTTTCATGCTCCGTGGGATGTGTAATGATTTTCGGCCGCCCATGTCACATTCCAATATGTAAACCACATCAGGCTAATACAGCTGTGCATTCTCATGACAACTAACTCATCCCTTTTGCCTAAAAAAAGAATACCAACAAAATTTTCCAAGTAAAATCTCATTAGGGGGACTTCAAAATACTATTGTGTTATGAATAATTTATCATAAAAAGATATTCATAATTAATGGCTGGGACCATTGTTTCAAAAAAAAACCTGCACATATTCAAGATATTTCTTTTCTGGCCTTTCCAGATGATTTACTGCCAAGTTTGAAGAACTTGAGAGCTTTTAAAGATTTTTGACTGATGCATTCTCCATAGTGACTTTGCCAGATCATGTACAGTACAGTATTTCATTTAGTTGCAATATTTGACTTGTAGATTTTTTTCAACATTCTAATGTTTCAAGATCTTGAAGTTTAATCAGTTGTTCTAGTTCTGTTTTTTGGTTCGAGTAGTTCAAATTTTTAGTTTTTTTAATTGTTTCAGCTGTTCTAATTGTAACAATTGTTCTATTATTTAACAGTTCCAGATATTCTGGTTGTTACAGTTGTTCTACTTGTTACAGTTGTTCTACTTGTTACAGTTGTTCTACTTGTTACAGTTGTTCTACTTGTTACAGTTGTTCTACTTGTTACAGTTACAATTGTTCTACTTGTTACAGTTACAATTGTTCTACTTGTTACAATTGTTCTACTTGTTACAATTGTTTTACTTGTTACAGTTGTTCTACTTGTTACAGTTGTTCTACTTGTTACAGTTGTTCTACTTGTTACAGTTGTTCTACTTGTTACAGTTGTTCTACTTGTTACAGTTGTTCTACTTGTTACAGTTGTTCTACTTGTTACAGCTGTTCTACTTGTTACAGTTGCTCTATTTGTTACAGTTGTTCTACTTGTTACAGTTTTTCTAATTGTCATAGTTGTTCTAGTTGTTCCAATTGTTACAGCTTTTCAAATTGATCTAGTTGTTCCAGATGTATCAGTTGTTACAGTTGATCTATTTTCGCAGTTCTCATTTTTTCAGTTGTTCTAATTGTTTACAGTTCTTGTAGTTCTCTGGTACTGACTGCTGTTAAGATTGTCTACTTAATAGTTTTGTATTTCCAGAAGAGATATGTCAAGAATTACAATGATTTACAACTTCTTCGGATGGAATAACTAACAAAACTCAGATTGTGCAATACAATTCATTTATTTCAAACTTATCCTTCCTCAAAATTCCTTTAAAAAACCATCATACACATTAGATTTTGGTACTCCTTGTAATGTTGAACTGTCTCTACACCAGGATTGGCATTTACATTTTTGAAGGTTCTTTTTGATTGTTTGCGAGTTATTGGGGTTTCCGATATTACGACAATTATCAGTGCAAATTTTCTATGGTCCCTAAATGCATAATCAAGCAAAAAATTTGCTATACCAAGAATTATATAGAGGAATAACTTATAACACAGTTTTCATAGCATTGTCCATAGGGTTAAACTGCTGGGACAGAAAAAATGTGTTATACTGTAACAAGATTCGTTTGAATGGCATTTTTTGTTGTAATCAGCACAAAAGACAATCGAAAAGTGATTATATTTCCTCTCGTAGATTTTTCGATTTTATAAACATTCAAGTGTGGCTGCCCTAAGCACTAAAATGAGACCAAATTTTGTTCAAGCATTGTTTGCTTCCATTTCATCTGTGATTTTGAGCAGGACAAGCATTTTAGGCTGCGTAATTTTGTGTTCAAGATACAGAATGCGGTTTTATACAGTACTGTTGAGGCAGTACCATGATTCAATTTCATTTAATGTTGTTCGCTAATTTTTCTGACGTTTCTTCTTAACAGGGTAGTCATGACGGGTACGACCCGTACCGGCTTGACGGAGGCGACAAGATGGAGCAGTCCAAGTCCACCACACCTCCGGGTTCCAGTTCAAGCATGTCCACGCATGATCCGTACAAGTTCACCAGATCATCTGCACAACCCATCAAAACCTCGACGTTAGAAAGGAATCGGTCTGACGATGGGCAGCCAAAATTTGCGTAAGTTCTGCGATTCAGAGTTTGGGTCATCATATCTTTCAAAAGAACTTTTATTCGAGTATGAATTTATTTTATTTGTATCCTCCTGAATCGTGCGAGATCTGTTGAGCAACTGCATATAGGTACTGTACATTATTTTTCTATGGAATATCTGCAACCGGAAGATTTTCAACGGGCTGGAAATCTTGTACTATGGTTACTTTCTTGTTACAGTCTAGAATCTAGAAATTTCAAGTTGCCACGCATGCGTGACTCGGATTTTTGAATTTCTTCCCGTAAATGCATCCATTCATTTTTTGTGTGTCGATAATCTTTCATTTTCTATCAGTAAATGTTCTGTATCGTTTCGGAATTAAAGTGGAAACTGAGACAGATTTAATGCTAGGATTTTTAAGCACAAGACGGAAATAATTCTAGAACAAATGTACATACGTACTTTCGATCAGTTTCCTATAGACCAGAGTAGACACCTTCCATATTCACCAACTGTGATTTATTCTCAACAATTTGCAACCCAATTTCAACTTGTTAAGCATTCCACTTGGATTGAGTCATTGACGTTGTTCTAGTTAATTTTAGGATTTCAAATCTGACTCCTGAAACAATTTTCTTGTTCTATCCCTGCAGGAACACGGATATCAAGCCTGTGCCTCCGCCGAAGAACGCTGTTTACAAGCCCGTCCCTCCACCAAAACCCAAGACATACCGCAACTCCAATCCTCTCCCAGTTGGATACCAGCCCTCCGCGGTACCACTCCCACAGCAGCCACCACCAACACAGCACCAACAACCACCTCAAGTGCCACCACCCGGAGTACCTCAACCCGGAGCTCACTACTCTGACAACTACTCCTCCATGAACTACGTCTCCTCATCCGGCTCACCGGACACCAACGGCACTGCGAGTTCCATCGTCAACGGTGGCTACTACTCAGGCTCCAACGGCACACTACGCAGTACTCAAAGCCAGTACTCGTCCCGCAAAGACGACTATGGCTCAGAAACGTACTCTTACGCCAAGTACACTAATGGTAGTCTTAGGAATGGGGCCGCGATGCTCGCCTATGACGACGATGCTAGCAACGGATTCGACTCTGGACATGGGAGTAGCTTGGACCGCAATTATGACAGTTTTGGGCGGAATTACAAGGCGGGTGTTGGACGTGCAGGCAGCAGTAGTGGCAGCAGCAACATCCACAACAATAACCCTGGGCAATATTACCTGAACGTGCCGTTGCCGAAAGAGGCGAAGAATGGGACTTTAGATCATCGGGAGCATCGCGGGAGTGCTTTTGAGTTGTACAAAAAGCCGTTGGACCCTCGCATTCCGCTTGAGTACACGGTTAGGTAGTCCTTGTCGTCGGAAGTAATTGCTGGGGCTTGAATATCAAAATTTTTGGTTATATTTCGAATTTTTTGGTTTTTTTTTTCGAGGATGGAGGGAAAAGAGAAACAGTTACGAATGTGTCTCTCTTCTTGCGCGTCTCACTTCATTCATCTTCACACCTTGTTCTTGGCTATCTATGCGCATGATCTCGTGTGTAGCAAAAAATTCGTTGTCACCAAGCCTGATCATTTACATTATTTCCCGAAGAGACACTCTTCAACTGAGAAAGTGAGCATTTGAAGAATAAACGCGTTTCCGCGTGCCTCTTCTGTATTTCGATGCACTTTCCTCTGCAAGCAATCGCTATTGAGAATTGCTTCCTTTTCGCTAGATGTCACTTCAAGTTTCTGTCGGAGAAAGTTCTGTGACCTGTGTCGCGTCAAAAGTAATTCTCTCGAGCTGAAAATTATTTTTTATTTTAAGCATTTTATAAGGTGTAAAAATGTTACTGATCTTGGAAAATGTTGTTGTCTACTCTTAACTGTGTACATCGCAATGAAGATTTGTTCTAGTGCGAGTATAGATATCGCTCTCAGTTTGCTTATTGGTTTCGGCTATCGGTAGCATAAGAAAAAGTTGCATGTCTTGGGATCCAGACAAATGACCAGGCTTGGTTGACTTGAAAATCTTGATGTTGATCTCGTTGCTGTGGAACATGTTTCTTCCGCTTCTTGGCCGTCTTACAAGCGTCGATGTGAGTGATTCGTGTTTGATCAGCGCAAGACGCGTTTGCGGTTTTGTTTTTCCGGCTCGGTTCAGGTCGTTTTTTCTTGTGATTTTTTTCTGCCAAGAAAAACACGAAGAGAATGGACTTCAAACTGAGGCAGTCTTTCGTACTGCGGTTTTCCTCAACTTCTCTTCTTGTCGTTCGAACTCTTCTCCCTTATGATTCAGGTGTTATAGGAAAGGATTTGTAAATTTTATTCTGCGGGGTTTCCTTTTTTGTTGAGTGCGGTTATTTCGCAGATACATGAGCCGAGTTTATATATTTTTTCAGTCAAAAAACCGAGACAGACGGAAAAGGCGACTGACTCCCGTTTTTTTGTGATAAGGACGAGAGAGTTTAGGGAAGACAAATTGATAGAAATGATGTGGATGAATGTCCAGGACGAAACTTCGGTTATAGATGTGAACGTGATTTGCGAGCGATGTTTTTTTTTTTTCGTGTTTGCTTTTGCGCTAAATGTTTCAAATAAGTTTTGTTTTTCGAATTCGATTCATCAGCCTCTCTTTAATTGTCGTGGACGTTATGGTGGGACGATCTACGTTTCCATCATTATACGATTTCTTCATGTGGGGAAGCAGCGGCTATTTTATTCCACAATCGCCGTTCGATTGAATGTGAGACCCGTTTTTGTTCCGTTTTAGAAAAATCGGTGTCATTCTAGGTATATCTCCATTTTAGAGATCTATATGTTTTGAATGTGCTTTGCGGGGTGAAGGCGGATTTCTTTTTTTTTTGGATGTTGTAGAGCCCATGATGATCAGTCGAAAAAAGGAGACAGAAAATAAGATGCGGAAAGAAGTGTTTTGCCGTGAATATAGACATGCAGGATGAGAGAATGAGAATAAAAAGAAGAAAATTCAGACGTAAATGTCATTGCATTTTTTTCATCGTTTTTTAAATGGTATAGGAAACCCAGTTTTATTCAAACATCGACAATAAAGACGAATGAAAATTTTATTCTGTTCATGATGCATAAGATTTGAGAAAAAATACTTCAAGGGACTTCGAAAGAGGAAATGTAGATTTTTTTCCGCATCGGAAATCAGAATACTGTAGCATGTGCCTTCTTAATTTTATTCGTTTGGTTCATTTTTCTTGTAATTATCTAATATTTTACTGAAATTCCTTTTTGATTTTCATTTAAACTTCATTACAGAGATCCAGAAAAGGCAGATAATTTATGAAAGTGAACCCCATTGTCAAAATATGAAATTGAAAATGTTCCCTTCAACTGTTGTGATTTACTTCATTTTAAGGAAAACAAATTCTTAGGAATCAGGATGGACTCTCGAGCGAATTTTGCCTCAAAATTTTGGGTTCTCAGTAATCTTTCGAACCAAGCTTAATTTTTAATTTAATTAGAGTTCAGGAGAGTGACAAGAAATGAGATTCATTTGAAAAGGTTTTTGACAGGTGAGGTGATGTAAAGCGCAGATTATTTTCTCGAACTTTAAACCCGATTGTGTCATTCTAAATTACCTAAAAAACGTTCCGTCCAGTATAATTTTAGGGTCGCGTCTGAGCGTGTGTAACCAATCAAATATGTAACTTGTTTATAATTTACAAATCGATCCGTCAGAAGCCAATGTGAAAGCTTTTATAAATTTCGAAGTACTCATTGCAGTTATGCACTTCTTAAGTTCTTATTAATATTTTCACACGTTTTTAGAAACGGGATGATTTATTTTGAATATAGCTATATGTTTCTGTACAGCATATAAAATCACAAATTCCTCAAGTGCGAACAATAATCTTTCAAAGAAAACTCTCATGCAACAAAACAGAAGTCTGCCTTTTTTTTATCTCCGTCCAACAGTCGTCGAGAAAAACTGCGAATTTTTAAAAACAATTCCCTAATAAAAACAGACCGAGCACGAAAAAAAAACCCCATTCTGCTATCAATTTCGAAATACTTCAAATTTTTCGTAGTCTTCTTCATCACATAATTAGTGGAGGAACACAAATTTTGTCATTGACAGAGTATAATTAGCTGGAGGAATTGCCCCGAATTTTCGCCGTGTCATTTTAGAATGCTTTTTGGGGGAGCTAATTCAAAACGAAAACCTGCGCCAGGTTTTTCTGTGAAATTTTTCGAAATTTTTTGCGGAAAAATATGAACGAATTTCTTCGGAGGAAGAAGCTGGGGGCTCTGAATGTTTTCAATCGCCAGCAGGAAAAAGGTGCAAAATTGACGAACCATACAAAGGCGATGTCGAGAATCCGCCCAAGAAAAAAGTCTCGACGAAAAATCCTTCCCGCGAAAATAAAACCAAATAAGATTCACAAATAAAAATAAAACAAGAACGGAGAAGAAGAAAATAACAATAAGTTCCTCATATTTTTTTTTTGGTACATAAATAAAACTTTTCCACAATGCAACCGGTGGCAAAGTTTGCTCCTTTGCTTCAACAACTGCGTCCCGGAAATGCAGAGTGGCAAATTTTCACAATCACTTGTTCTCTGACTCCCCAAACTGAAATTTTACACCTACACAACAACGGCTGAAACCCTCTTCTCTTTCTGGAAAAAAATTTAGCCCAGTTTCTCTTTTTTTTTCTTCTCCTGGCCTTGCAACGTTCTCAAGCTTTGAGAAATATAGTCAAAATCAGTCTTCACCAACGACCTGCTTCAACATTCCATTGGGTAATGACATTTAAGCTCTCCAGAACATATCTTGGATAACAACATAGTGAAATGCAACTTTTGAAAAATCGGAGAAAAAGAAAAAGCTTTTTGAGAAGAACCAAATTTAAAATTGCCTGAATTTGCTACTTAATTTTGTCGTGCTCTTTCTGAAATTAAGTAAGGGCTATAATAACTGGAAAATTGTACAGTTGCTTAAGGTTTTAAATCTTTGGAAGTTCACATTTCTTTGTACTTGCTTAAATTCACACTATAGAAGTAAATTTAATATTAGAATGCATTGCTGGAGATTTTATATTCTCAATAAATTATGCTTTTTCTCAATGAAATTTATATGATTCTTAAAAGAAAGCTTCAGCACCTCAAGTTCCTAAAAAAATAATCATTGAAGCAGTTCGTTCAAAAGTCAAATCAAAGTCTGTCCCTTGAAGCCAGACTATAATTAAACTGCAACTTTTACCTTTGTGAACTTAACCCGGCATGGTGAGATTAATTCAAATGTACTCTATAATTTCCTTTTAAATTTGGTGTTTTAGTGCTTTCATATTGTTTAGTGCATTTTTTGCTGAGGAATTTGTAAGAAAATCTTAATGCAAGAGTTAAACTGAATAAATCATAATATTCAGCTGTAAAAATGTTACTAAATTGCTAAATATTTTTACCTTTTAAAAGTGTCATAATCGACAAAAATCTCAGAAAATGTGGAAAGTACTTCCAAGGAACTTCAGTCAGTTATTTTATTTCAGATTCCTCACTTTAATCTACGCAAATAAAGAATTCTACAGTATCCCATAAATCATACAAATATCCAATTAACATATGGTGTATTGTGAAAGGTTGTCCTTATTTTAAAAATAATAATCATAAATCTCAATCTTGGCTGAATGTTATATTCGAACATATACAGTGGAATTTTCAGAAAGAGTGAGAAAAACTCTGGTGATTCATTTTTTGGCAATGAATTTCAGATGGGGTTTTTTGAATAAATTCTTATAGGAAAGAAAAATTATTTGAAGCAATTTTCATTCACTCAAGCTTTCGTTCAATTCATTTTGATCACATTATTTTGTGAAAATTCGCCAGGATTTTTTCTCTCTCTTAAATTCATGTCTTATATACTGTATATATAGGCATTTGTTTTGAAGGCCTGAAGATATGAAACATTATTATTCCAAACATATTGCGTTGAATCAATGAAACTAAAGATTGGGTCTTTTGTCCTAAAAAAAAAAACAAAACACAGGCTTATGAGAATCGATCAAAATTAATTTCTTTCATTTTTTTTTCTTTCTCAAAAATACTTGGTAAAAAGAAGCCGCAGCAAGCAAGCAGTGGCACCATTCAAAAACAAAAAACAAAATTGTCCGCACCTATGAAGCCCACAATCAGACATACTTTGCCCTTTTCCTTTCCATCAATCAGGAAGGTTCCTTGAACATGTAAGCCTCCTCTGAGGAATTGGCCTCTCTGCAACCATGAGCTGCCACTGCTCTTGAGTCAGTGCTGGCCGCATTGGTGGCTGCTATTGCCCCAGCAGCAGCTGATGCCGATGGTGGTGCCGGGGGTGGGCCCGGATAAAAATCCCATCCCGCCGCAGACCCATGATGATGATGATGATGGCCAGCAGGGTGGTTTTGGTTGAGGTGCTGTTGCTGCTGCTGCTGTTGTTGCTGCTGCTGGTGGTGTTGGTGGTGGTGGTACAGATGGTCCGCCACAGATGGCGCTTCCAACGACGCCGCTGCTGCTGCCGCCATGCCCAGGTAGTGATGATGATGATGCGGGTGCACAGCAGAGGTGGCCTGGTAGTGATGCGGGTGATGGACACTGGTGACTTCCGGGTCAGGGGTGTAAGGGTAGCAGTACGGGGGCAGGGAAGTGGGATCTCCGTCCGTCGGCAAAGTAAATGCCGTTTCGAACCTGATGCCGCGGGTTTGGTCGCCGTAGGCCATGGCGTACAGGGCTTCCGGCTCGCACACGAACTTGTACACGTATCTCTCACCTTTGAACAATATAGATGTCGTTGCGGTCATCATACGTCATCATCAGATATGATACTCTTACTTATATACTCTTACTCATACCCTTTGAAAGCATACTTGTCTGTTGAGTTTATAGATTTCTTATGTTTGAGTACCAAAAACCCTGGGTTTCACAAACTCATTGATCTCTCACTTTCATTTTAATAAATTTGCTTTTGATTTTCAGCAGTCATTTGAAACTTTTCCAAAAAGCAATACGCCTTACCTTCAAAATAAACATTGTGAAAGTTCCAATCCTAAATCAAGGATATAGGGCAGTAATTTTTAATGAAAGAATGATCAAAATCTTCATTTCATAATGATAGAAACAAGCTTAAGATAGATGTACAAGTACTGGAATTCAATGAAGATACCCTTTCTGAAATCTGAAAGGATCAAGATAAACTGTTGGCTTTATATGATTTCTCATCAAAGATTCTCTGTNTTGTGCTTTCCTGCTCTGAAGTGATTAAAATGTCATTGAGTGGATTTGGGTTGGGTGGGAAGGGGGTTTGGTTGTTAAAATCTTGATTGAACCTTGTGAATGCTGAAAAGCAGCAATTAAAGTGTTCTGTTCATTCATTCATCAAAATCTTGTCTATTCACGTGACAAAATAAAGATTTGTTCAGGTTTTATTGGGAAATTGTGGACATGTAGATGTCACATGATGAATCGCAGTGTGGTGCTGCAGTTTTTCGAATTTGATAAATAATGTTATCTCAGGGCATGAAGTGAAACAAGACTTGATATATAACACCTTGGCTTCGTGTCAAAAAGCAAGCTTGGACTTGAAATTAAAAGAAAAGAATGGAGATTCTCTCATTCATTTATGCAAAATACATTACCTTCGCAAAGAACTCTGTTCAATTAAAAGTTCCTATACTGTATATAGAAACGAGGAATATACAAGTACGGGCGAGACGCAACAACAATATGACCCGCCAAGAATCAAGAAAAATCGGCATAAATTCATTTGATATCCATTAAAATGCAAATGTGACTTAGCGAGGCGAAAACATTAAAAAGGCGAAGCGTATTTTTTCTCACCTGCCACCTTCTGCATTATTCCTTTTTCGTAGTAATATCGGAGAGACCTGCTGAGTTTGTCATAGTTCATTGCGGGTCTGTTCTTTTGCACTCCCCACCGTCTCGCAACCTGGAAAAAGAAAATGACAGAAGGATGTATTCCAGAGGAGGTCTTCACAGAAAAAGGAAAATCAGGCACACAGTGAGACCCCCAACATGCAGACAGACACCTTGACATGAGGACAATTTGGCATAGGGACATTTATTTTTCAATAAAAAGGGCATAAAAAGGCCCAACATATGGACACTGGCTCAACATGAGGACATTGCATGATAAAAGTGCCAATAAATTTCACAACAATTGACTTTTATTTGGCTTGATTGCAAGAAACAGATATTTCCAACCCCATGATTTATGCAAGAATAATTCTTTGTCATTTCTCCCATCATTTTCCCATCCATTCAGCTAATTAAAAAAAATTACCTATTTCATAGAGGGACTTCCTTCTCTCTTTGTGACTTGAATGTTATTTTTGTGGATGTCAGCATTTCAATGTACAGTACAGAGATACCCTATTCAATGAACCAAATGTTCTTATTGAGTTGAAAATATATTCACGGAATAAAATTCAAGTGGCAACAAATTTTTTTTCATAGAATTCTGAAGGATATTTCTTCCATAAAACACAAATTAAAAATTATATAATGTAAGTCTATGTGAAAACAAGACTTGACTTAGGGACAATTCAACGTTGCGCAGTATGCTTAATTCTAGAGCCTTGTTTTTATAAGCAATTCAAAATTCTGTCTGATTCGTTTGATACAAAATATAATTATCTTGTCTTTGGAGTCCTTACCAAAGGGCTCCCTGCCATGTTCCCAGCGGATTGTGTGTTTAATTAATTAATTCATTAGGGTTTCAGCCTTAAATATTTTATTCTTTGTGGCCTGTGCGCCAAACCCGCCGTACTTTGGCGAATTCATAATTCAAGCCCTTTTTTTTTTGGTTGGTTTGAAATTTATTGATTGTTTTATTTTTTTCGGGAATTACGAGTGAGTGACTCACCTCCTCGGGCTCAACCAGTTTGAACTCGAGTCCTCGTCCGGTCCAAGCAATGAAACTCGAGTTTCCAGGGTCGTCCAGCAGGGCGACGAGGAATTGCCAGAGCTGCAAAGAGCTGCGTCTCGGATAAGACGCCGGCGTGGACGCATTGCCGCCGGAACCCGGCGAGAAGGGCTCTGTGCATCCGTCTGGTCCGCAGCACCCGCCGCCGCTGCCGTTACCACCGCCACCGCCGCCGCCGTTGGGCGCCGCTGTCGGGGAATCCGCAGTACTCCATGCGTTTGTCCCGGTGTTGTTGGAAGATAGGGAAGTGGTGCTTGATGAGGTGCTGCTGGTAATGCCTGATGAGAGGGCGTCTTTGGCCGGCTTCTCGTCCTTGGGCGAAACTGCTTTCCTTGAGTCGTCCCCTATGCGAAAAAAAAAATTAAAAAATATTCATACGAAATTGCGTCGAAGCTGGTTTTGAAATGAACTATTTAAAAAATTTTAAATGTATAAAATAACAGCTGGGAAATATCGTTGAGATATATAATGAGATTTTTTTCTGAGAATATGGACTTATATGCCTGCATGTAGTTAAATCTTTATGAGTTGAACCTCTATGAGAGTCAAATACTGTACCTCTTTAAGCCAATTTTTTTTTCAAATCCCGGTTTGAATTCTCTTAAAAGTAATTTATTAAAAACCTCTTCAAGTCAAATGTTTTTCCTCTCAAACCTCCCGAACTCAACTTTTCGGAGGCCTCTTGGCCATTATTTTATTTACACACGAAAGATAATATCCATGAAAAATATAACTTATTGAGGGGTTTTGAAAGGAAGTGAAAGACCAATTGGGCAAATGAACCCTTGCGTTTAAGTTTGGCACCTTGCAACTCACTTGAGAAGCAATTTAAGGCCCAGAATATTACCAATTACAATTTTTGGAAATTCTCTCATCATTCCCGCAAGAAAAAAATTGCATTTCCCAACCTAGAAACCTCCCCATGTCAAAACCTCCCTAAGTTGGATTTTGTTTGGTCCCTTGAAATTTGACTTAGAGAGGTTTGACTTTATTGAGACATTTTCAAGATGTTGGGGCAGAAATTACAAATTTCAAGCATCTGTATAATATGAGTCAAAATTTCTAAGCCTTGAAGAATCTTCGGGGCCACCCTAGAAAGAAACTGTCTTTTATTTTCACTGTCTTCACCGATTCTCAACTTATCATCAATGCTGTCAGAACAGATGTGCGCATTCCTCGCAAATTCAAGACCACATGATGACGTACTGTATATGTGTTTGTGGTGAGGGTGAAGAATGGCTCATGTTATCTCTGCGTGTTTGGGAATTCAGTGGTCAGTCACAAAAGCCATGATTCTGGAAAGAAACCGGTGCTGATGATGAGGGATGGGCCACTCTGCGGGACAGGGAATCTGATGACGCGCGTGATTTATGCAAGGGCGACTTTATTTTACTGATGCCACTACTGTATATGTCCGGGGGGTTTTTCAAAAGTCTCGCGATTTCAATTATTGAATGCAGTTGGATAAAGCATATGGACATTCCACTTTCACTCGATTTATTTTTCAGTCACGAAAAGAATTACAGTGAGACCCCCACATGCGGACACCTTGACCTGCGGACAATTCAACATACGCACACTTATTTTATCATAAAAAATTAATAAAAATGGTCCAACGTGAGGACACTGACTCAACATAGGGACATTTTGTTATAAAATTGCAAATACATTTCAGGCCAAATAACAAGAAACAGATATTTCCAACCCTAAAATTGATGTAAGTTTAAACTGATTCCAATCATTATATATATTCCAACACAATATGGACATTTGGGGAATTGAATTCTAATACCTCTGTAGAGTACATAGAAATTTTGGCATAGTCTATAAGAATGACACTCAAGTGAAAATTATATAATGTAAGTCTAAGGGAAAATGAGACTTGACTTAGGGACATTTTGACTTGGGGACACTCTTGATGCACCAGTTATGTCCGCATCTTGGGGACTCACTACAGTCATCCCATATCCGCCTAAGAGGAGAAAACGGGCAAAAATATATTGATGTATAAACCTGATTCATACACCAGAAGTATTTTTTTGTGATGGAAGACTATTATATGGAAATATTAATTTTATTTGGATTTCCTGGGTGTTTTTTTTATGAAGAAGAACATTCTCAAAAATTGAATTGAAATAATCATGCAGAGAATAACGTACTGATGCTGAACTTGGCTTTGCAAAATAAGTTACAGATGAAAATTCTTGCGTCAGCTAATTTCCTAAAACAGATATGAGGGACCAAAAATGAAAATTCAGCGGAGAACCCGTGAAATATTTGTAACAAAGTCTTGTGGGAAAATCCTTGCCCATAAATTTGAGGATCATCACTAAAAACGGAAGCCTCAGAAGTTATATCCAAAGTTTAACATGAGATATCTTGAAAATTATCTCAGATGTCCACGTTTATGTTATTGAATGCCAAATCGGTGTGATTTTTTAAAGGCAAACAATGAACATTAATTCTCAAGAGAAAGGCGCAATTAAATAGTCGGCTTTTCAAAATTATGGGTGAACATTATTGTGTCATTTATTTTCCACTAAAGCAACATGATTCGAAAATTTATAAAATTCAATTGAAATTTTAGCCATTGGACAAACAGCTAAAATAGCTTCTGAAACTAATTTTTATGTGAAAATTCTCATCAAACTTTTTGCGGATCATCACCAAAACTGCGAAGCCCGCAAAATAATTACTGCATATTACAATTATATTTGGTGCTCCCGTGTCCTACAACAAAATATGCCTCAACATGTATTTCTAACCATATCGCAAATTTTCATTTATTCATCAATTATTTAATCGTGTGCATTTTTTTTTTTACAGAAAGACACCAGAAAAAAGCGGGAAAATTCGTCCACCATCCACGTTTAATTCCTAAAAATTTGACACTGCTGATATTTGCCGGACTTTTGCAGGAAACCCCTCGCGCATGGGGACGAAAGTTGGCTGGCACACGTACGCGACACCGACTTGGTCGCGTGATGGAAGACCCCCGGGGGTTCGGGATTCGGGGGGTACAGAGAGAGAGGGGGGGGGGGGGGAATAAAAGGCGCAACACTGAATTAATTACTGCTTCCGATTTGCATTCTGCTGGACTTCTTCTCTCGAAATAAGGCCTCGCGTCCAGCAGAGTTTCATTTATATTTCTCGCCCAGTCTCTTGTTTCTACCTCATTGCGCCTCATTTTTTTTCTCCTATATATATAATACGTGTAGGTTCTAGAAGCAGAGATTCCCTGACATTGTGCCCATATATTTATCTGTATATATATTTATATTTATATACAATACACTCGTGGCGAGGAGAACCACTCGATCTTGTCGCTCTGATGGCGAATTCATTTTCATTTCTATATTTCCACCCCTCATTAGGTTTTTGGAATGGACACGAATAATGTGGGTGGGAATGATTTCTTCGCGATGACTGTCACGTATAGTGTGATTTGATTTAATTGAAAAAGCCTCGTCTTTGTTCATGATGGGTTTTTATTTGTTTCCTTTAAGCTCATCGCTGATTTATTTTTTCATTCCTAATTTCACAAGTAAGATCGTGTTTCCAATAGGTTGCTTTCAAATATTTTTCGAAGTCTGCGACGATTTTTTGTTGTTGTAAACTTCAGCGAGAATCTTGAAAATGCTCGTCTTTACTAAGCCAATTGAGCTTTCCATTGTATTATTATTATTATCACAGCTCTACATTTAACTGATGAACCTCATCATGGATTCTTCGCAAAAAACACTTATTTTAAAGATTTGGAGACAATTTTTGAACTAATGTTCAACTGCTTGTATTTCGCATTGAATTTTCCAAGATGAAGGTGTAAGTTTAAATTTTACCATTGCGTTTTCGCCATGAGATCGTCAAAGCCTCATGATTACCGTCAATTTGAGCTGGAAATTGGTTTAAACAGTATTTAGTTCGGGATAGTAAAAAAAAAGAGACTTGATTTATACTGACGCATGATTTTTCTGGGAAATCTTGAGTTAAATTTTTAAAAATGACACGAGTCTTGAGAAGAGCTGAAATGTTGATGAACTTCTCAAAGATTTCTTCGCCGTATGCCTCAAAGTTTCGACACGAGTTCAAATTTAATTTTTTTTCACGATAGATTTATTCAAAATAGGGTTACAATTTAAACATCGTAGACCAGGCTTCTTATTAAATGTGGATGACCTTTACGACATTCATAGGCTTCAGTTCGCTGAACTGGAAACAACACAAAAGCATTCCCCAACTCAGGGGTATAAACATACAAGGAAAAATGGGAAAAAAAGAGAAAGAAAAAAATAAGCATCTGCTTCTCTCTCCACTCGGGGATTTTCCTTTCGCAAATTTTTAATGCCCTTTTCGTTCCGGCATCCGGATGATCAAGAGCATGAAAGGTTAATGCTTTCCAATGTATCCCATTTCCAAAGCGCCTCAGGGGACTTTCATCGGGGATCCGAGGAGAGATAGAAGAAAAAATGTTTTACCAGGATAACCTTAGGATGAAACCCATGTCGAAGAGGGGAAAAAAACACATACACGTTGGTTACCATAAAATCGAGGTTTTTGCTAAGAAAAATAAATACAAATGAATTACATAAATTAATCGCATCTTGCCGAAATCCGTATTTTTCGCCTGATTTTAATATGCTCTAAATAAGTCGTTTGCGAAATTAGTTTTTGTTTGTGTGTAATCCCGTGTAGGCGAAACATTTTAAACTGTTTCTGCGGCCATTGAGTTTTTTTTTTTTATTTAATCAACGAATAAAACGAGATAAATTTTCATGAAAAAAATTCAAAGTGATTTTTAACGAACTTCGCGCAAATTTGTACCAGTTATGCATTCTGTCAAAACAGCTCATGAAAATGTTGCTTTGAAAACTAAATTACCCGGACATTTCTTAAAATACCATTCTAAAGAGGCAAATGACCTATGGTTAATTGATGACTATATATATGCAAGTAATTAAATTCCGCTTTCAAATTGAAGAATCTTCTCAAGATCTTCAATTCTCATGCAAAAATATGAGGTCAATTTATTTTCATGGTACGTCTTACAAATTTGAGGGCTGGAAATTTCACCCAAAAACCGCAAAAAATCTATTTTTATCGATTGAAAATTTTTAAAAATATTTTCACCGACTTTTTTTTTAATCTTGTAGGCATTCCTGCGATTTTAAATGTTGCTCCCTCGGTTTTCTTGCTCCGCATGAAATATAATTGATTCCCAAGCATTTTCTTTACATATTGTAGATTATTATAACTGTAACAAACATCTGCAAGTTTGTCCCTGAATATCATGAAAATGTTTTTCGAACTTGTTGACGTTCCTCTTGTTCAGAGAGAAACAAAATAGAAGCAAGAAATGGAAACGCGTGGAGGAATAAATTTTTGTGCAGTTGATGACGGCGATGTGTCACATGGATGACAAATACTGTACAACCTTTTATTTATTTTTTCGTCTTGCTTGTCTTCTTCTTTTTTTTTTTTTTCCTTGAAGCTCGTATCAATTTTACATGCCTTGTTTTTTTTTTGTTGTTGATGTGTTTGTGTTTTTCTCCCCCATCAGCTCGGAATCTGTAAAAGGAAGGATTCTTTTCTGTGGAAGTGAAGCTCTCTTTTAATGCTCGCCGCGGGACGCGAATCCCGACGCTGGCAAAGTCTTCGCGTAATGGAAACCTTTTCGCATATTATATATACAGACTTTCATTTCCTTTTTTTGTGTGTGTGTGCTTGTGTTTTTTCCCACTCTGGATACTTGCTTGAATTATTAGCTTCCAATCCCTTCGGCTCCCAGCTTCAATAATAAACGTAGGGTTTATACAGCTTGCTGCGCGATGCTAAGCTGTCTTGGAATCCCAGATTTTTTTTCTACAAAAGAAAACACGTAAAAGCTTGCCCCAACTCTGACAGAATAATTTCTTCAATAACAAGTGTTGCAGAAATAAATTCATTTGTGTACATTTAGAAACAAGGCTTTTAAAGTCACTGTTTGCACCAAAAGCTTGTGCATCAGTGAGATAAGAATCCGGCATGAAGGTTTTTCAGATTCTTATTATCAAAGAAAAGTTAGATTTAGAAAAGTGAGAATATCTCAAGATCAGACAATCAGATAAATTTTTGTAGGAATAAAAAAGTTGAAGAAGATCATCAGCTTTGATTTGAGATGTTGCAGAATTTTGTAAGTGTGAAATTTGCAGAGTTATTTGCTTTGAAAGTTTGCGCGTTGGGAATTGCACTATATAGGCAAAGCATGTTTTCTTTGCTGATTTTATTTCTTTTTGAAAAGCAAGTTTTTTACTGCACAGTTCAAGATTGTATTTGCCGATTGTGTGTGTGATTGTTGTCTTTATGAAACCTGTAATCAGAGACAATAATGAAGTCCTCTTTTAACATCCAAGGAGGGAGAATGCTCAAGCTTCTCTTATTTCTGCAGTCATAATGTAGTTTTGCACTTTTAAAATTAAATTCCCTTGAAGGCTAATAACTAACTCAGCACTTATGTCTCTTGCATCTGGAATATTTTTAATGCAGCTTAAAATCTGTATAAAAAAAAGAAGTAAATTTTGATTGGTTTGATGAAT